GGAGGGCGTGTCCCCCCATCCACGCCGTCAACCTGCGCAACTACCTGGGCGCGGAGTGCCGCACGGTGCGCGAGGAGATGGGCGACGAGAGCGAGGAGTTCCTGCAGGTGCGCCCAGCAGGGGGCGCGCGGGGCCGCACAGCGGCAGAGCTGGGGCAGTGGCCGGCCTGAGGGCGCGGGGACATGAGCCCAGAGGTGGTGAGGACGACAAGCGGACCGAAGGCAGGCGAGGCGGCAGGGGCCTGGACGTGGCTGGATTCACCCGGCGCAGATGAGGGGTTGGGCCAAGAAGGGAAGTCGGGGCAGTTGGCTGACCCAGGGGGAGGGGGGAGGCCGAGAGAGACGGGACCTGGGGCCAATAGCGGCCGGGGGACGGGGGAGGGGGCCACAAGCCGGTTACCGAGGGGGCGGGGCCGGGGCAGACAGGAGCCCGGTCTTAAGCCAAGAGAGGCTAGCAGGACACCCTGCCCTGCACCCCGCCACCTCACGCCCCCAGCCGGTTAGGTGTAGACACTCGCAGGCCCCACCCCCACCCCAGGTTTTACCCGGTTGACCCAGTTTTGTGCTTTTCCAAAAACCTTCCTCCCTAACCCTGACCCATCTCCCCATCCCCACACCTGCACGCACACGAACCCACAGGTTTGCATCTGCTTACATCCCAACGCGCAGCCTGCGTTTATGTGTATAGGCGCAGTCGTAATGTTAGCATCGGGGGTTTGTAGCCCCCGACTCCCATGCACGGCTCTGCCCCGCTGACAGGTGGCAGTGGGCGGGAGGGGGCAGCTCAGGGGTGGACACCCACAGCCCCGCGCACACGCAGGTGTTTGACAAATTGGGGGGGGGGCCCGCCAGTGGCTTCTACACCGTGGAGGACACACACTACGTCACCAGGTGAGGGTGTGTGGCGGGGGGTGAGTGGCACTGGCCGGGACTCTGCAAGGGAGGGCGCTCTTCCTCCCTGCCCACCCTGAGCATCTGGCCCCGGCCCCCAGGCTGTACCGTGTGTATGGGAAGAAGAACGTCAAGCTGGAGCCCGTGCCCCTCAAAGGAGCCTCTCTGGACCCAAGGTGAGCCGCCTTGATGTGAGCCTGAGCCCCCACCCACCCCTGCGAGAAGAGGAGGGCCTCCACAGCCGTGTAAACTCCAGTGCCACACAGAAGGGCGCTGAAACTCCCAATGAGGGTGGGTTGCGTGGGGTGACCGCTCCCTGTCACAGCTCCCTCCTGCCCTCGCGTCCAGGTTTGTCTTCCTGCTGGACCGAGGGCTGGACATCTACGTGTGGCGGGGGGCCCAGGCCACGCTGAGCAGCACCACCAAGGCCAGGTACGACGGTGCAGTGGGGTGTTCTGCCACGCGGGCGGTGGACACCTCGGAAGGGGCGTGGCCTCACTGACGGCGTACGTCCCACGCTCAGGCTCTTTGCAGAGAAAATCAACAAGAATGAGCGGAAAGGGAAGGCGGAGATCACACTGCTGGTGCAGGGCCAGGAGCCGCCCGAGTTCTGGGAGGTGCTGGGCGGGGAGCCCGCTGAGATCAAGACGCACGTTCCCGATGACTTCTGGCCGCCCCAGCCCAAGCTGTACAAGGTGAGTCATGGCGCGGGAGTAGAGGGCTGGCCAGGTCAGCCAGTGGGCCCACAGGCTGTCCACGGTGCTGGCTGTGGTCCTATCTGGATTCGGTGGGGAGAGGGTGCCACCTTCTGGTCGGAGAACAGTCTGCGCAGAGGGCCGGAGCCTCGCTCTGTGAAATAGTGTGAAAAATCTTGATTTTTGCTATAGGGTGCATGCACTCACCAGAGAGACAGAAAGCAAGAAATCACCCCCTGGGTAGATGGTGACGCCGCAATCCCTACTCCTCTTCGGATGCTGGGTACACACGCACACGCTCCTGCATGAATTTTAAGCCGCCAGGTCTGGAACTCCAACTGCAGTCAACTACATGGGAGACCAACGATGTGACCATTACACCATCTGCTGGTCTAAAAAAAATCTCTCTTAAAATAAAATAGGGGGGACCAGCAGTTGGCATAATGGCTATGTCGCTAGACTCTCATGTAGTCAACCTCGGTTCAAGTCCCTGACCCAGTGGCTTAAACTCATACCAGGTGCCTATACATGCGTGTCCAAGATCCCGAGAGGAGAATGGAGGGGAAGGAATTGTGGCGTGGCCATCCCCCCTGTGGGGTGATTTCTCGCTTTCTGTTTCTCTTTCTGGTGAGCGCACGCGCCCTATAGCAAAAACCTCTCAAAAAAAAAATTGGGGCCAGCAGGTGGTGTGGTGGTTAAGAGTGTTGGATTCCTGGGGACCAGCAGTTAGCATAATGGCTATGTCGCTGGACTCCCACATAGTTGACCGCGGTTCGCGTCCCAGACCCGGTGGCTTAAAACTCACGCTTTGCTATAGGGCGCGTGTGCGTGTGTACCCAAGATCCCGAGAGGAGAATGGAGGAGAAGGGATTGCGGCATGGCCATCCCCCC